AAAATGCATCTCAAACAAGAGCTCGGGTCTTTAGAGGTTAATTGTTCGTGTTCTCCATTTTGTTCAATTAACAATACATGTGGAACAGACCAGATGTTAATTTTGATAAATCACAAGACAGTAACTTAAAAACCACGACCTCTGGGTTTAAAAAGAAAACAAACAAGTAAACTTGATTTAGTAGAACTTTGGTGTCGTATAAAAGTGGTAACAAACTAGATCTGTACATATTTCACCGTTTACTGAAAATGAAAGCGTGCTTCATTGTGAATAAATGTACTTTTACTCAGATTTGGTTCCAGAACCGCAGAGCCAAATGGAGGAAGGCTGAGACGCTGAAGGACATCGAGCTGGTGACCCGACAGCACCTCCATCCGACCAGCCACCAGATGCTTTACTATGAGGTAACTGACGATATAAATTCATTTTGGTGATGGGACACATATTTCTTCACCTCATTTTATCCATCGAGTGTCTAAACTGTGCTGTTTGGATTCCTCCGCCGTCCCAGAAGCCCCAGCTGCAGGCGGTGTGCTGGCTGCCGTGCTGCTTTCCGAAGCCTCTTCAGTCCAGGCTTCACTTCAGGACGTCGACGCCGGAGACGCTGACACATTCCCCGGTTCTCAGGAATCTCTACTTTGACATGCTGGGAACAGAACGATAGCACCTTTATTCTGTTAAAGTCTTTTTTTAATTAAATGTGGTGCCAAAGAGTTTCTAATGATGCACTCAGACTTTAATCTGTAAAATAAAATGACCAACAAATGTTTATTTTTAATTTAAAAATGTGTTTGAAGTGTGACTGAACTTTTTTCTCATTTGCCAATAAAGCTGCCTCCTTAAAGTATTACATTGGCGCGCTTTCTTTATTTCCTTTTTGCTTTTTTACTGTTATGGATTAGTTTTATTATAAGACAATAAATGTGAGGAAAGACAGCAGGGGGACACCAAAACAGAACCGCTGCTTGGAGACATTTGCAACAACGTGGTAACATATCTATCGGGTCGCCCCCTTCTGTTGGCTTTTCTGCGATAAAACGATCTTTGGATAAGTCTGTGCCGATGCATTCGTACCGATCAAGGTTTGAGGGCCCTCTGGACTGTGACACGCTTCTCCGCGCAGAGCCGTGTTATTGTGCAGACTTTTTTTTTTCATGACACCACACTTCCTTGTCTGAGATAAGATACAGCGTTGCCATGAACTGTTTGTCCGTTTGACTTTCTGACAACCTCTCCTTATCTTAATTCGGGCTTGTAAGTCGAGGTTATTGGCGGGTCACCAGGGGATTTTGGAGAAGAATCAGATCAAAGGGGAAGTAATTGGACTGTGGTGATAGGTGAATAATTCAGTGAGAACAAAATGCAACGTGCAGAATAATGCTGGTTTCTTCCTTAAACCATTCGGCTACTGCATTCCACGGCCGTCCCTTCCCTCCACCTCGGAGCTTCTTGTCTGCTTCTCGTCTGCAGCGGTGTTTGCCGTTGAACAGGCGACCGGCCTCCGTCTCTCTGAGAAGTGTCACATAGGCCATTTTTCAAATAATTACCAATTATAAGACAGATAACACGGCATCGCCTTCGCTATCGATCCAATAAGTGACTGGACAGGGCCATAACTGATTACGCTAACCAACGCTCTGAGCGCGCTTCAACTTTTCACCCCGTTCATATCTGCTTTTACTGCTTGTGTTTGCAGTCAGATAAAGTGCGCTGCTGCCTACATGGGTGGGGTTAGAGAGAGGAAAAAATAGTCATCGTAAAGCAAGAGAGAGAGGATAAAAAAAGCTTGGATTCTTTAACATAATGCAGGTTTTGCTATTTCAATCACAAACTGGCGTTTAGAGTGAACTGTGTTGGACGTGACTGTGGAGGATCAGCGGTGAACCGAACAGACCACACAGCTGCTCTGAAGGATTCTTCATCCAATGCATGCATATTGATTTCCTACATTTTAATCCCATCTGTTCGTCTCGTCTTTCCTTTATCTTTTATGGCACATCAGAGCAACACGGGTCGTATTTCAGGAGTATCAAAAGTGTCTTAAAGGAAGCCACACATGGCTACTGAAGGGACTGGCCTGTCATATATGATGATGTTCAGGAGTCTATCATGTTTATAGGTGCAGGACAACCTTTGAAACTAACTTCCTTTCTTGCTTTAGCATAATAAATATAGATAAATACAGAGTCAATACTACCCAAGCAAGTTTTCTGTATTATGAATGTTCTGCAGGACACTGAGTACAACAGAAAACCTGCATCTATAATATAAACATGCACAGATTGCTTTTTTATGCCACATTATTACACTACATGTAGAGTACAATGGAAATACATTAAGCTTCAGCTCCGATTGTTCCATATACTCATCTTGAATCAATTATGTTTTATTTTATGGAGTAAATTTTATGAGTAGAATTTATATTCTTCCATTAGCCTTTGCAATAAGAGCAATCATTCAAACCAAATCTAAGCAAGTGACAAAAGAGTGAGGCACCATGTCAGACATGTTAGTGGTAAAATTGGCATATTTCTATTTTTTTTTTGATAGCCACTGAAATTGTCATATTTTCTGGAAAATGCAAGGTCCTATTCCACAGGTGAGAATTTCTACTGTGTTGTATTCTAATGCATCGTAAACTGCTGATGCAACAGTCCAGTCGGTTTCTAGTCAGCTGCAAGTCGTGGCTCCAACCCAACGGCTCGCTATTAGGGTGCAGAGAGAGTTGCACAATGCGGCTGCTCACATAACGAGGAAAGGCTATAAAATCATATCCAAGTGTTTCCAAGTGTCAGAGGCCGCAGTGCAGAGCAATCATCAAAAAGGAGTTCCAAGAGCTGCCGCTGCACCGGCGACAAGAGGCCAAAAATAATCAAGGGTCACCACCGAGGCCGTCCTGATAAATCAGGTCTGCTACCAACATGTCAGAGCAGACGCTGAACAGGGCTGGACGCTAATGGAGGAAGGTGACCGAGAAAGGACCATAAAGCTCACCTGGACTAAGAAGGAAGCTGCTGCTCATCAGTTTTGTTCTCAGACATCACAAACCTCAAAATGTTTGATGTTAGCGAGCACCACATGCAGACCTGTTGGTGCAGAGAGGTGCACATGACACACTAGTTTGTTCTTCTACAGAGACTACAGAGAAAATTCTGCTTTTTAATATCAAGTGCACTTGTCTGATTAAAGCAAGAAGCCTGTTAAAATAAAATGCATCAAGTTTGCAGAAACCATCACCTGAGTTTCTTGCTGTCAGATTCCATTTTGTCTTGGAGGTAAAACAGGAAGCGTGCCTCTAAAGCAGCGATTCTATTGGTTCCCTGAGCAGGTGGGAATCTCAAACAGGATTGGATAATGTGTCCTGATTGGCCAGTTTAAACTGGGAAGGAAGCCCCTGCCCTATATATGTGAGAGTAATGAGAGAGAAGCGAGGGAAGCTTTGTTCAGAGGGCTGCTGAATGCAAGCTGTGGAAGTTTTCCTGTAAGTTTTTTTCTCTTTTTTTCCCAATTTTATTTGTTTTTTTTAGGTTTTTTTTGCCAGCATGCTACCTCACAAGGCTACCGACACCCGTTCTTTACACATGTGAACACAGGGGAAGTGTCTTTTTTTTTTTCTTGGGTGAAAGAAAGGAGAAGTGTTCAACCCCAAGAACAACAACATCCTCACGATCCAACATGGGGTGGAAATGTAGTGCTTTGGGGCTTTTCTTCAGCCAGTGGTCCAGGCACCCTTGTCAAAGTAAATCACAAGTAAAGAGAAATGCACCATGATGCTGGAGGAAAACATGTGGAGAAAAGCCGTGGGCAGCACTGGACCTTCAAACAAGACGATGATCTGAAATGTACAAGAAGACAATATTTTGAAGTCCAGACCTGAACTGAGGGCAGAGCAGCCGTCTTTGGAGTGGGACAAAATCCCACTTGTTAGCACTTATGAGAACCATTTAATTTATGTGCCAAATTAGCAGCTTTGCCGTAAAAAAAAAGAAAAAAAAAGGCATTTTTAGTACCATTGTTCCAAAAAGCCCCCTCAGAAACAGGTCAAGTAAATCCCAAACATCCACAACACAAGGTTTAAACATCTTCTGTCAGGTGCTTGTGTCATTTCCAGGGAGATGGCAGCTGCTGCTCAAACACACATCCGCTGTGAATTCAAATTTGACGTGGGTATGAATAATTTTGCGCGTATCTGTTATGCGTCAAAGCAGCGCACAGGTGGCGCCCTTCCACCCGTGAATAAGCAGAAATGAGGCTCTCTGTTTTGCTGAGTCTCACACAGGAGACAGCTCTGACCTGATTCTAGCTCGTACGGCTGCACCCATCATCTCTGTAATGTGGTTTATGTGCTGTTGGGTGACACCGCTGGACCGGGAGAGGTGAGCTCGGTTCGGTTTGGCTGCAGCGGAGAGGGGCGGACATTCAGCATCTCTCAGCCTCCGCCCGCGTCTCTGGCTCTGCCTCTGTCCGGAGAGGTGGGGAGACAGGGGAGGACCGCACACCGACAGGGGAGGAGGGGGGGACGTATAGAGACACAACGCGAGAGAGCGAGAGGAAGAGAGGGGCGATGGCCGCCGGTGCAGGATGCGGGGAATCGGTGGATCAGTACCGGGCCGAGGTGGAGCGCCTCACGCAGGAACTGGCCGAGGCGAACCGGGAGAAGATCCGGGCTGCGGAGTGCGGTCTGGTCGTCCTGGAGGAGAACCAGGCGCTGAAGCAGAAGTATGCAGAGCTGGAGACCGACCAGGAGACTCTCAGGAAGGAGTTGGAGCAATTACAAGAGGTGAGCGGCGCCGGATCGAGCTGCGGTTCTGTTTGGCACCGTGGGGCGGGAAGCGCACTGCGGTCAGGTGTGTGGGATCAGCACGAATAATAGGAGCGATGTCTTGTTTGTTAATATGAGCTCAGCGGGTTCGTGTAAAGCTGAGTGCCAACCAGAACCAGAGAGAGGCGGAGTGGGGAGGGCACCAGAACTGGTCACCTCCTGGGCCCAAAGCAAAAGGAGGAACGCTTTGGTGCCATTTAAATGTGATGAGCTGAGAGAAGCGTATGAATAATCCAAGCTGCTGTTTGTGCTGTGAATGTGGCATCAGGGTCTGCAGTGCAAGCTCAGGAGTCCAGTCCACCTCTCCCAGCAGTCATTGTTTCAGGACTCCATCCCAGAAAAGTCATTATTTTAACTCTGTTGGGAGCTTTTGGTGTCATGCCAAGACATGAATGCTTCCTCAAGAGTCCCTCAGTAACTGGATCCTCACAGTTCTTCACCAGTTTCTGTCCATTCATCTAAATTCTGAGAAGCATTTCCATAAGATACAAGAAGATGAAGGCGTTGCAAGTTCTTTGATTACTAATGCATTTTATTGCTGTGCCAGAATTCTCACCGGTTGTCTGTCTACGGGGTCTTGATGTCGGTAAGATTTAATGTGAGGGAAAAGTGCTGCTGGGCTCAGCCTGAATAATGAATGCTGGGTGTGCTTTACTCATTAATGCATACATGTACATAGCAACAAGAGGCGGATGCTGACGGGGCTCTGCAGCTCAAGGTCGCTGGTGGAGATGCTCGAGTCAAAGGGCCGGGAGAAGAAAAAAGAGCTGAGGGGTGCTTCTGATGTTGTGCATGTGTGTTAGTTTCAGAAAGTTATGCAGTCACCAAAAAATGCTCAGAAAGATCCCATGTCTGCAGCTTTAGGTGAAGCCTGATGAGCAACTTCTGATTCCTCTGTTCATTAAATCCTGTCAAGTTGTTCTTTCTTCAAATTCAGGCGTGATTTTACCTCCTAGATAATATCTCTGGTCCAAGTAATTGTCTCAGCGTATTAAATCCTTAATTTAAGTGGTGCATTGACCCTGCTTCACTTGTGGCTTACATGACCATTAACAATCTATATTTAAGCCGCACTAGAAATTTTAAAAATGACTTCAAGTGTGTGTGAGTCATTGCACTGTTGGCTCATGATAAAAAAATCATGACAGAGATCACATGGCCGGCCTGCTGCCGTATGTCAGACGTTACATTATGCATGCCTGGTTACATATTCACACCATTTTTTTGTTTTTTTCTCCCCGTGCCCTTTCATTCCACTGCTTAGTTTGAAGATTTTGTTTTGACTCGCATGCAGATTCAGAACGATCTGTGTGCAGATAACAGCAGCGAGTTAAGCCGAAGAGACGGGCCGATACAGCCGGCAGCACGGCGCTGTCCAGCCGATGTCTCACACGTATGGATTATTGGATGATGCGGTGGATGATGGTGGAGAATGTGATAAGACGGGGGGGAGAGGAAGAGGCAGAGATGGGACGGTGATGGCAGGAGAGCAGTGGAAAGAGTGAAGTGTTACTGACAACATGTGGAAACTATCACAGGAGAGCCTATTGTGGGCATCATCTGATCCCTTCATCATTTGATCAAACCTTTGATTTCCGTCTCTCATTAACATCAGCAGCAGGGCTCTTTGTTGTGTTCTGTCATCGCTTCACATCTTTTTTGTTTCTCCACCTGCCTGTCCGTCCGTCCCCTCGCCTCACAGACGAAGCATTTTCCACACATGATATTACTTCCACTGAAAAAAGCACCTCCTGGTTCCTATCTGTCTGTCGCACACGCCTGTGAACATGAGCCGGAGTGCCGGAGTGCAGACCTGCCACCACAATAACATCACGTCTGCTCTCAGGAGAGCTGCATTATAAAAAGGGCAGATGGAGAGAGTGGAATGGCTTCTGGGCCTGAGTGGAATTAAATGCCTCATAACTGTTGACTGAAAGTGAAAACTGGTTATAAAATGGCTCCATCCTCTTTTTTTGGATCTAGTATTTGCTCCGTCTACAAACAACTTGTTCAGTCTCGGTTTGTTAATTGACCTTTTATCCGTTAACATACAGTCGAAGCCACACAGAGTGTTTGCAGCGGGTGTGCAGCCTAAGCTACATGTGCATGCGTGTTCCTACCGTGTTTGCATGTGTCCTGTGGTCACACATGTGCCCGAATCGCCCTGGTGCTCCTTCGCCCTCAGTCAGCAGGTGGAGAGCAACTGATGAGGTTTTGCTCCAGAAATCCACATGCAGCTCTACAAACTAAACACATCCACTCCCTGCCAGACACCCAGCTGCTGTACTACAGGCCTGGTTTGGTTGTGCTTTACAGTATTTTGTGTATCTGGCTGTGACTTGACAGTGAAACAGCAGCAGAGGGCCGTGATGATGGAGCATCCAGGCAAATACAGAGAAGTTCTGTCACATTAAAATGAGTTCGGTAGACGTGTGTTGACCCTTGTGAGGAGAGCATAACGCTGGTGCTCTGTCAGTGAACGGCATCATATCAGTGTCTCTGTGATTCTTTGTGTTTACCTCAGTAACAGCCGCATACATCTTGTTGCTGTCCGCGGGGCACGAGCTGGAATAGGACTCTAAGAGCATGTTTTGGTGTTGAAAGCAGGAATTGTTTACTTGCTCTATAGTGTCCTCTGCTATACGGCTTTCCCCTTCACCCGGCGCTCCTCTCTGCCTCACGGCCCCGTCGCTCCCTCAGTCCTCGTATCCTACTGTGTGTCTCTGGATAGCTGCCTAAGCGCTGACGGAGAAGACGCCTCTGCCCCGCGGTTCTGGCTTGTTCGTGCTGTCTCCGGGCAGATCAACCTCAGATAGGACACGGTGAGGAGGAGGACGGCATCACTGCAGAGCAGGACGGGGCAACATCATATGGCTCTCTAGTCACACTGTCAACAAAGACTGAATTAGTCTCCGAGGAGCGTGGTAGTCATGAGTAATTTTATCCTCGGATTAGCTTTTCTTGCTTCAGTCTTCCTCGTAACTTCCTGTTTTTGGACGTCTCTGGAACTCGCTGTTGGACGAGATGTGTGAAAAATAACTTAGTCATTTCAGCCGCTGTCATAACTCGTCTCTGAGCTCTTTTTGAATCAGAGCCTGCAGATGAATTGACATTTGTGATAGGTTGGGAACAGGCGGTTCACAGGTCACTTCTGTTCTCGGGGCTTTAGGCGGAGACGGACGCCAGCTGAGATCTGCATCAAAGTCTTCACGTGGTTACTTCAAATACCACAAAAAAAAACAGATTCCGTCATGATTCATCATCATATTTCCTTCCTGCTGTGCACTGCTCATCACATGAAGCCTTCAAGACTGTCTTTTTGTGTTTTGCTGAAGCTGCGTCTCTCTAGTTTTTACATTCAGCATAACGATCAGTGGCAGTGATCTTGTATTTGTTGTCTGTGTCTTTATGTTAAGTTAAAGGAGAATTTTGACATATTAGGAAATAATGGGATTGGGCTTATTTGCTCCAGACTTGGATGAGAACATTGATACCAACCTCATATCTATGCATTAAATATAAAGCATGGACAAGGAAGAACTGATGATTTCTCACCCAGGAAGAGCAGTGATTTTCAGGAGTCAGCTAAACTTCCTGCAGTTATTTTGTTTAGTGAATCGAGCCGTGCTGGTAGACAGAGTTCTTACCCCTCACCAGAGCCCATACAGTCTAATTTAACCAGAGGCATGAGAGCAATATTTCTCATCCAACAGCTGATTTCAACAACACAAGCTTCACGTTCTAAAAATAGAGAAATGTGTCCAGCAGGTTACAGTTGAGGGCATCAGCCCTGAACAGGGAACGTCCCCAGAGCCCTCTGCTGCACCGCCACCTGATTTGTTATAGTCAAGAATCAATGCTGACTTTATTTCCTAACGTACAAGGTCTGTCATTACAGTTTCTCCTACCCACAGCGGACCTTTGGGGCCGTACGACAGTAATTATGAAGGAAAACAACATCTGATATACTGGAGTAAATGAAACCCCATTTAACCAAACTATTTCTTTTATTTGTTCTCTGCCTCCAGCTTCTTAGATTTGAATATTTTCTGGTTTCTTTACTCCTTCATGACAGTAAACTGAATATCTTTCCAGTTGGACGTCATATTCTGCTTTGGAAAACGCTGATCGACTTTTGCCACCGGTTCCTGACATCATATTAAAACAAACCACTAATCGGTAAATCAAGAAAATAAAAAACAGAATAATTATCGCTAAAGAAATAATCGTTAGTTCCTGCTTTGTTGTCAGTTCTTATGATTTTTACTTCGACCTCGGCTAAAATCTCTAAAAAATCCTTATGCAGAAAAAAAACCACCCTCATCGTAGTAGTCCATTATTCTACCGGGCTCGCTGTCGGGTCAGAAATAGAAAACACACTTTAACATGCTAGCGATGGTTGATTAGCTGTCAGTGCGATCCTCCCGGGACCTGGTCCACTGCCACCATCTGCATAAGTCGAGTTAATATCACGCCACTGCTCAGTCATCGGGGAACGGAGAGACGAGGGGATGAAACTGTTGCTCGGCTTAACCTTCAGAATAAATTAGGGAGCATGTTGAAGGACCTGCACAAAGTCACAAAACCTTCATTATCCTGTGCAGGAAGGAGCAGCACAATGTGATGATGTGAGACATGAAGCAGGGTCTAAACTCTGCAGCTACAGGCAGAGTGTTCGACCCTGCTGTGCACATCTGGCTCCTTTTTTATTCAGACAGTGGATCTGAAAAGGCAGAACCTGAGCACTTATTAACATTTCTTAACCTGTCTAAGACACTGAGACAATTGCAAAAGAGAGCAGCTGTGGCTGTAAATCTATCTGGGTTGAAGGGATGCATTATGGTTCCTCTCCTCCTCTTAAACATTAGCAGGGGGTTCTTAGAAGGGCCGTAAACATGGACGGAAGGCCCGAATCAATACCTCATGAGCTGGTGTTGCTCCCTTCTTTTTCAGTTCCA